TAAATAAAATTAAGAAAAAATTAAAATATTCAATCAAATAATTCAAAATCAAAAAACTTAAAAAAATAATGTGTACAAAAATAATCAAGGGAAAAAGCAAGCTTAAAAAAATCTTATTTTAAAAAATCTTAATAGTTGTTGAAAAATAATAAAATCCCCTTTGTTTGTTTTTTTTATTTCAAAAAAGTACTAAAAACTATAGATTGAGTGGACAAATATCTTTCCACCGGTCGATTTACGGCAGTTTGCTTAGTACGAGCCATTTTCACTTCACTAGAGATATGCACACAAACACTGTTAACACTGTAATAACGTTGCCATCGCAATTTCAATTTTATTTCCCAAAATTCATTACATTAAATTAAACTTACTCTAACACAAATTTTATTTGTTTTTCCAGAGATTTATAATTGTGTTTTGATTAAATTAGGCAAGGCCAGCCAACTTTTATGTATGTAAATATGTAGAGTTTTTTTAACATTTTTAAGTTCGAAAAAAAGGGAATAAAAACGAGATTGTCAATTAACTTATACTACTTACAACTAATGGGCATTGCCCTTAAAAACTCAATAACAAACAAAACAATAACATAACAAAACAGAATAATGTAAGTCTCAGTTAATTTAATGCATTCCATGTGTAAAGAATTAGTTTGCAATATAAGTGTTTACATTTTTTTAACATAAAATGTAATATTATAAAATTATACTCCATTGAATTTATATGTATATAAAATTATATTATGAATAATAATCATAATAATATTTATTGTTTTTATTACTATTTTTTTATATTAAATTTATTTATTATTTATTATTATTGGTCAAGAGAATAAAAAAAAAAATGAAATAAAATGAAAATTATATGATCCATATCTTCTATGGTAGAATACAAATTTGCCCTCATTATTGAATTTTTGCCATCATTGTATAGTGTTAGAAAGCTCATAGAGGGTACCGTTTACCATGATGGTGTTCAGCTCATTGCTTGTTACACTACAGTTAAATATGTTTTGATTACTATGGATTGTGCACTTCTCCAGGTATTTCAACGCTATATTGACCATATATCTTTCAATTCTGTCAATTTTACTTTTTTCATAAAGTAATAAGTTTTTAGGACTTCTTAGTCTACCAAATTCATTTATTGGTGTTCTAAGTCCAAGGCTGTGTTTTAGCATTTTCCTCTCTAGTATTCTAATTCTTTACATTTGATGTGCCGATATTGTGAACCAAATGGGGAATGCATTTGACATAGCTGGTCTTACAAGTTGTTTGTACAAAATAAGCTTTACATTCTGCGTTAGACCATCCCTCTTACCTATCATACTTCGCAGTTTGGCATATACGGCCTTACCTTTGCTAAGTACATAATCAATATGTCTTGTGAATTGCATATCTGACTGAAGTATTACTCCAAGATTTTTTATTATGTTAGTATTATGAATAACACTATTCCCTGTTTTGACTGCAGGAATGAATTTCCTCGCATTTCTGCATACTGATCCCGGCTTCCCCTTAAATATAATTGATCGGCATTTATCTATGTTAAGGGTTAATTTTCACATATCGAAGTATTGCTTCAAATCTTGCAGATATTTTGTTATTAATTTTTCAGCTGATTTTGCCCTATGATGTGTTGCTGCTACTATTATATCGTCTGCAAAGATTGAGGCCATGACCTCTCTAGTTGGCTGTTTGATATCAGCGAGGAATAGGTTGAAAAGAACAGGGCCCAGCACTGATCCCTGTGGGACCCCTGGTTTTAATGTGTTTTTTTTTTTTTTTTCAGAATTATGGCCATCAGTGGTGACACAGTAACTTCTATTTTGAAGGTAGTTTTTGACAATTCGGGTAATATTGGGGTTAATATTGTATTTATTATTCATTTTATATATCAGCCCTTCTTAATACATCGAAAGCTTTGGAAAAAATCCAAGCTGACTGCTATGGTGGCTTTTCGTTTGTTTCGACCTCTATTTATCTTGTCTATCAATGTCATTAGGCAATGTGTGGTCGATGTACCTTTTCTAAAACCTTATTGATTGTCTTTCAGAATATTGTTATCTTTTATTTGGTCACTTATTTTTTGTAACAAAATTATTTAAAAAAGCTTTCCAAATGATGATAAGAGTGAGATAGGCCTGTAGCTGTTCGGATTTGTGGGATCTTTACCTGGTTTAAGTACAGGTATAATTTTTGCTATTTTCCACTTCTTTGGATAATAGCCAATATTTAAACAATGGTTGGCAATGGCAATATTTGTTCGTTTAAGAACATAATTACGAACGCCGTCATTTCCGAAGCTTTTCTTATTATTAAGGGTTTTTATTATTGCACCTACTTGACTAGTTGTAACGAATTGCTCATTATTCGTGGTAGAGGCTGATGTGTTACTACCATCAGCTAATAGTTCAGGGCAAAATTGAACTAATGGCTGTTCACTGAAAGATGTTCTATTGCTTGAGGATAATGAGTTTCCATTAGAAAATTTTCCTCCAATTTCCTCTGCTAGCTCATCAATGAGGCAGTCTATTTCTGTTTTTGGGCCTAATCCACAAAAAGCTTTTGTTGGTTGAAACATGTTTTCATTAGCTGGTATGCTATTTAGATATCTGGTATAATACTGTTCTTCAAAACAAGAAATTTGTTGTTTAATTAGCCTATCCAAAATTCTAATTTGTGATCCTAATGATATGTTTCATTAGAATTAACAATTCTATTTCTTCTCCTTCTTAGATTCTTCTTTTGCGCCAATAAATTTGACAGGTGGTAGGTCCGGGAGAAGACTTTTTTTCCGATAATGTTGTTTAATATTATTTTCCATAGCCGTGTTAAAAGCAACAGTCATATTTTCAATAGTGGAATCTATTTCACTAAGTGTTGCATTTCTGTCCTTAGGAAGGCATATTTGTGCTAATTTTGCTCCTAATTCATTATTAAATTGACGAATATTCATGCTTTTGAAATCAAATATTTTCTCCGGTTCTTCATTGCCTATATTATTTAATAATATATCAAGAAAAACAGCTATATGAACAGAGTTACAATCACCCGTCTCAAGCCCAGTAATCGCCCTTCGCGGGTGATTCGTTATCAAGAAAACGTCTATAAAAGAATCCGTCGTCGGTGTTACCCTGCTTGATACTTCTTTTTTTTTTCATTTCTATATTTGAGGTAGAAAGAACCCAGTCATTTAATATTCGACCATTAGCATTTGTCTGGTGGCCTCCCCAAAAGCGGGTGTTTTGCATTTAGGTCAGCACCTTTATTGCTTCGTTAGGACCTATTATGTCAGATAACTTATCTAGATCTTTTTTTTTAGTAATATGTCACTGAGATAAAAACATTGTTTGCCCGCCTCAGATTTTTCTTGGTCAGTTTTCAGTTCTTTATAACTTACTGCAAAGTCACTTTTTTCATGCCGGTTATAAAATGTTTGCCTAAAAGTCTTTGGCAGTCATTATCAAAGGCTCCCATGGCCTGTTTAATAAAAGGGTAGTTTGCCCTTTTTTGTTGTCAATAGCACTTTTTGTTGGGGGGATTTTCATAGCAATAGAAATTTAGGATAAGTAATATTTGGCTTATTAGCTACATTGTTATTTGTGTTGGCTTTTGCAGCCGCTTTCGTTTGGTCCATTCTTTCTAATATTTCAAGCCGTTTTGGACATTTTTTGTAACTTTGAATTTAACGCATTTAACCGGGATTCCCTTTGTCTTAATTTTTTTACCTATATTTGCGTCAGTTGTTATTGTTTCCTCAGTATTTTGGTCTTTGGACGGTATGTGACACTTTCCACGTTCATGTCGACTAGCACATTTTACGCAATTTGGAAACATCCTACAATTGATAGAGATATGGCCATGTCTTTGGCAATTTTTACACTGTGGAAGATCCACACTCTTATATTTGTCAATGCTAACGCCATTATTTAGAATGAATCTAAGTCAAGAAAAGGATTTTATGTCAGAATCATTGGAAAATTGCACAATTCATTTTGTTCTTTGTAGCTTGACTATTTTAAAATTTTTTAAATTTATTCCTGTATCCTCAATAAAATTTTTAAGATCAGGCTTATCATAGGTATCTGAGACTCCCTTAACAATCAGTGTGTGAGGCTTCTCTTCTTTGATGGTGTATGTAAAAAAGAAATTGTCATATTTTCTAGATATTATCTGACTTTCAGATGTTCTTCATTTTTACTCAGTTAATTGTGAATACATTGTGATTTAGCAAGTTTTTTTAATTTAATTGTAAAGTCTCTAACGTTAACATTATAGATTTTAATAATAGGAGGGCTTGAATTACCTTTTGGTTTAGTTGTTCTTGTAATTGCTGTCTTTCCGCTGTTATCTTGCATGTCCAGTTGCTGGGAAGTCCCTTAGCTGCTATTATTGACCACCGGCATTGCGGATATGTCATCTTCACACTCGTACTCGACAGCTACCATGAGGTCTACGGCTGCAGTGGTACAAATATTGTCGTTGTCATTTATATTTGTCCATTCTTTGGGGATATGGACATCCAAGTTAACACTGCCTGTGGCAATTTTATTAGCAAGTTATTGGATAGTTTTCTTAAATTCTTCGTTTTCTTCTTTTAATTTAGGGTTTTCGTTAAGAACACCTTCATATTTTTTATTAAGTTCAATCAATTGGTCCACTATTGGTGTAGTAGGTTTGTTTTTCTTTTGCATTTCACTTCGATGTAAACGTCGGTGTTGTTATTATTACAGTTTGTAGTATTTATGGAAAATTGTGATGTTAGCATCAACTTTTGGGGTTGATATGTTAGTGAGTTCTTACCTATCACACAAAAGAGAACATACAATACTAACGGCAAATGTACACATACACATATAACTGTACATACTTTACTTGTGTGTTCAATAGTTGGAGATAGCCTCAAATTTTGTATAAATACGAGCGGAATCATCCGGAAAAACATTAGTGCTCAAACAGTTCGTGAAGTGAAAAGTAAAATAAAGTAAAGTAAAAAAAATGACTGGTCGTATTAAAGGTGGTAAAGGCTTGGGAAAAGGTGGCGCTACACGTCACAGGAAAGTGCTCCGTGGTAACATCCAAGGTATTACCAAGCCAGCTATTAGATGTTTGGCTCGTCGTGGAGGTGTAAAACGTATCTCTGGCCTGATTTACGAAGAAACTCGTGGTGTTCTGAAGATGTTTTTGGAAAACGTTATTCGTGATGCTGTCACCTACACCGAATATGCTAAGCGTAAAACCGTCACCGCTATGGATGTCGTTTATGCTTTTAAGAGACAAGGTTTCGGCGGTTAAACAAATTCTTGACGCAATTTGGAGAAATCTGTTATTTACAACAAAACAATCTGTCCGTTTCAGGACCACAAAATATATCAAAAAAAGAGATAAAATCTTGTTGAAATCTATTTTTTTAATTAAAACAAAGAAAAAAATAAACACTTATCTTAGGAAATAAACAAATTTTAAAATTTTTATTAAATTTCGTTTTCAGTTTTCTCGTATATTTTTTCTCACAATTCGTAAACAATGTATAAAAATCAAAGAAAGAAAAAATATAAATACTTACTCGTTTCAATTTTCTCAAGAATACTTTCACCGAAAACATTGGAGGTCTCGTATTTTATTCCCGATCATAAACAATTTAGTTGCGTTTCTTCTTCTTCTTTTTCGTATAATATGAGTATTATATAGCGTCGCTTTATCTATGTATTGGTATTATTTAGTCGATATTACTAAAGAACAACCATGCTGTGGCAATAAAGGAATTTCCTTGTGATTTTGGACTTTTTTTCAAACGAATTTTTTCCAAAATTTAAGTTAAAATCGTTGAATATATTTATTAAGTAGACCGTGGATTCATTTTATTTCAAAAAATTTCATTAAAAATTGTAAATTATTCACTAATAATTTCCTTTACAATTTTACCGAAAATTTATTTAAAAATTGAATTTTATTTAAAAATTCTTCATTAAATGAATTTTATTTTATTTATGTTAAATTCTCTTATTCAATTTTCAATTAATTTGTATTTAATTTTTTATTAGGCTATTTTTTAAAAATCACTATTTCCTTTTATTTAATATTATTTTGTTTATTTCCTTATTATTAATTTAAAAATTTTCGATTTCGTCAAAAGCATTCTTAATTTTCATAAAATCTATTTATTATTCTAAATTCCTTTAATTTATTTGCAAATATTTTCATATAAATTTATTTAAATTTTCACTAATATATGCCTTAATTTTTAAAAATTTTCTTATTTTATTTTAATTTAAATATTATTTTATGTTATTTTATTTTTCTTTGTAATTATTTTCGTTAATTTTAATTTCATTATGTTACTTTTATTCTATTTTTTGTGTTAAAAATGTAATTTTTATTTTCATGCATGCGTCGATTTATTTCCACCACAACGCTATTCTGCCGCCAAAATTCCCTTGCTAATCATCATATTTCCACCACAAGACTATTCTGCCGCCAAAATTCCCTTGCAAATCATCTACTTTATGCCTTCCCGAAGAATGCGCCGGGGTGCGATTTTTTCACATAAAATTACTGCGAGCCAAAACCAACTGCCACGTGCTTCTTCTTCGTAGTATTTGGTGACGCCGCGATTTCTCTCTCGCTCTATTCCTGAAATCATAAGAGACAACAACAACAACCAGCACGATTGGAACGGGACTGTGCCTTTCCCTTAACTTTGCCACCTTTACTACGACCAGAAATTTTCACTTTATTTTAGTTTTGAACACTTCACTTAAGCACTGAAAAACACGAATGATAAAAAAAATTGCCTTTTGCCTTTTTGCCCATGGCCATATTTATTGAAATTCGTTCTTACATCTATACCGGATGGCTTACTGTTATATTATTACAAGGATCATATAGCTTTTCGCTACATACAACATTTTTTTTTGTTTATATTAATTACCGCAAGACAATACTTGACAGCAGAAGTCAGACATATAAATATTACGAAAAAGAAATCAAAAGTTATTTGCTATAAAAAAATCAATTATTAAAAATGAGCGATCTATAAATTAACTTATGCTAAAACTTACTAACTAGGGCTAAAACTATGACTTTAAACTACTATTTACATATGTACAATAATGACGAAATACAACTCGTATGTATCACTGGGCAGTGTTATACACTACGTCAGCAGTATCATACGAGTTGTATCGCCTATGATAAAATAATAGACGATTATCTATATATACTAAACCCTCATTTTTTAAGAGAGGAATAGCAGCTGGTGGCAAATGTTTTTTTGACATTATCGATTGGGCATCAAAGGAGTATCTGAGAGCCTCTGCAACAATCTCATTCTCAAACAACACGCTTTTCTCAACAAATTTTTCGGCCCCTTTTATCATGAAGAGATCAATTCTGTCAAAACCAGTCTTGTCATATATGGTCCTACAAGATGTTGATCTGTAAAACCCATTCACCATAAAGCCTTTGCTTAGACCTAGACATGTTCTAAGAACACGACGCTCCCACGTACGTAGCCGTTCCATCTGGTGGGAAGAAATCCCAAACAAAATTGGAAAGGCGTATGTTAATATCGGCCTTATTATTTGGCGATATAAAATCTATTTAAGCTCTTGGGATATAACCCCTTATTCTCATAATATATGGTAGGTAAAATATATCTGTTGGTAGGTAAAATATATCCGTTTTGCCTTTCCCAGAATATAATCTATGTGTCTATTGAAACTATATTTAGAGTCAATTATAAAACCTAAATATTTCACGATGTGAGACAGACTAATTAATTCTGAACCAATTTTTAATACCGGGAAATACGAGCGGAAATTTGGGTATGTTGTACCAGGCTTACCCTTTGTGATCACCGCCGAACATTTGCTAGAGTTCATCTTTTAATTTATACATCTTTTCTATGTCCGTGTTTTTTGATTTTTTAAATGAAATGTTAACTAGGCTAGCAATTTTTACGGTGAAATCGAGAGTTGAAAATAAATTTTTAATTTCATCTACACTGTATTCGTCGGGGAGACCTTCTATTACCAATAAATATGGTAATAGAGGTTTGGGGGTGTGGGTATGAAATTTGTACCCCGCACCCAAAAAGAGGCTTTTGGCTGAATTATAGTTATTCAGTCCCCTAACCTTGACAGAAATAACACCCTTCCTAATAAGTTTTATGATAAAGTCACCTGAGGGGAGAGGTTGCTGCAGAATGCCCGTAACTTCACGAACTCTAACATCATAAATTGTAAATGCTTGCATTAAAACTTTGTCACCACAACCATTATCCTTATAAATATTGCTGGCCTCCTTAGCTGCCGTCTTCTACTGTATGGGTTTTAGCGTTGCTGCATCCTTATTCTTCACATTTCCTTTGGATTTCTTCGGCACAACTGTTTACCAAGGTCCGTTGATATCATCCACACTATTAGGGTTGACTTCACTGTGTCCCCCGTTGGGTGCTGTCGGCAGTGCAACACCATCACTCGCTACATCCATACCGAGCTCTTCGGCTGCCCCGGTAGCCCAGTCACTTTGTTTAGAAGTGCCTTCCGCACCTTCCTTACATTGCCTTTATTTTTGAGTAAGGTAATTTCAGTTGCTTGTTGTTGAATAGTTTTCTCCAACTGCTCAATTCGTCCAAGACCTTTTTGGATCTCATTAAAAGTAGCTTCCAATTTTATACTTTCATAGGGCGAAACGGCGCCAGAATTGCTGCTACTACGTTTCTTTCTGTGCCTGCGTATTGCTGAAGCAGTCTCAGATGCCTCACTTGACATTTCTGAATCCATCTTTTCAGAATTTTTCATAAGAAAAACTTGATCCACGGAATCCACATTTTGCGTCGAAATACTACCTTAAAAGGCCCTCTTCAGGGCCACAAAAAACATTTCAAAAGAGATCATATTTTTGTTGAAACTACAATTTATCATTATTTAGTAATAAATGGATTTTCAAATTATCACATGACTCAGATATTAAGGCATTTAGAAGACAACAATTTATGCTTAATGAAGGCATTAAAATGCAAAATTACAAAAGAGAAGGATTTATAATGTGCAAAAATTGCCAAAAACATGGAAATGCTACAGGTAATTGCAGTATGCCCTATAGGTGTGTAAAATGCCGAAATTCGGAACACGGGCCAGGTAATAGCCCGATTCCTCCAAAAAAAGAATAACGAAGAAATAGTTGTAACAAACCCAATAACAGGTGTGTAAAATGCCGAGATTCGGAACACGGGCCAGGTAATAGCCCGATTCCTCCAAAAAAAAGAATAACGAAGAAATAGTTGTAACAAACCCAATAACAGGGCAAGTAAAGAGAAGTATAGGATTGCCTGTATATTGCTGTAACTGTGATGTAGAAGGCCATTTGTCAAGCTACAAAAAATGCCTTAATAGGCTAAAATTATTAGAAAGACTTTTCCAGAAGAATGAAAATATTCAAATTAATAAGCATAAGACCTTATTTGTAAACTCTAATTTCTCTTACTCCAATGTAGTTAAAGCATGACAGCAATCATTTGTGAATAACAAAGCACCAAAAAAATGGAAATGCCTTTGAAATATTCAATAAAGACTGTATAAATTTAATAGGTAAATATATGCTAACAACGCTTAGAAAAATACAATAATATTCAAAGACGCATAGTCAGCTAAAAACAGATGAAGAAAAGGCCCAGGCAATACTAGGGCTACTACTAGAATTAAGACTAAATGACTAAATTAACATTTATATTTATTAATGTCAATTCAGTAGTCTCACGTCACTAGAGACATTATCTGGAATTATTTATTAAAAAGAACAATTCAGACATATTACTAATAGCTGAGCACAAATTGTCTGATAGGAATAAATTTGATATGAAACATTATATAACATTTCGCCAAGATAGGAGTTGTGACCGAGGGGGTGGAACAGCAATTTTAGTAATAGATTGGAAAAAGGCAGGACGAGTAGCGGCCGATCTAGGTGAAATAGAAGCTACAGTCATAAAACTAAATAACGCTTACAATGACATGATTATTATGTCTTTATATAAAAAACCAACAGATAATCTATTTAATAATCATTCATTGGAAGCAAGGAGGCAGTCATTGGAGCTGACCTTAATGCTAAGAATTCCTTATGGGGAGGTAATACCACTAATATTAGTGGAAATATATTAGGGGAATGGATTGATACCTCTCCAAATTTAATAATTAGACCATCAATCGAGCCAACTACTTGTTATTTCAATTCAAAATCGTTTATTGACATATTCATAACAACTAACAATGTAGGCATATGCTCATCTG